TAACTAGATGAGCAAAGGCTCCAAAGGGCACCCCTGCCTAGGGCTGGTGGCCTCAGCAGAGAATGGAGCCCATGGGCCCCCTTGAGCATGAAGCAATACTTTTGGCCTCGTTTGGATCCTAACCTGCAAAGGTTAGTACCTGGGCTCATAGGAACAAAATCCACCTTTGGGGTCCCATGGATTATCAGAAATCCGTCCTAGCAATTTAGTTGCGCGCCTTCTAATTCAGGAAGGCTGTACTTGCCGCACTGATTGCCATATCTGGGCACAACATGTTCTAGGCTAGGTGTGACCCACTTTGGTGACTGCAGGGTGGCAAGACTTTGCATAATACAAGCTGAATCATTACTATTCATAAGCAGTCTTCCACCTAGCGTCCTATTAGGCCACTTAGCTGATTCCATTTATCTCTCTCCCTCGGAGATTACCTAATTGTCTCCAATAGTTTTTTTTCTTTTCTTTCCTGGCAGGTAGGTGTGGTAGAACTCAGAAGGTGCTGTTAACATACCCCCAAAATGAGGGGCTTTAGGATGCCTTTAGGGTACATAAGCTCCCATAAGGCTGTGTACTCAGACTCAAGATCACATTCGACCAGGGCTCTTTCCTGCTTGTCGTTTGAAGGCCAGCAAAGAACAACTAGAAGCTTTATACAGTCCAGAATACAACAGGCAGTCCTGATTGTTTTATTTTAGAAATAACTTACTGTGTTTTATTCCAATTATAAAAGTAGTACCTGCTACTTACAATTTGATAAATGCAGAAAAGCATAAATAAAAAAGAAAAATATAGAAATCATTTCCATCAAGAGATATCTCCACAACGATTTGGAAGGTTATTATCTACCATGCTTTTTATTACACGGGGTGAATATATATATATATATGGCATATATATCCCACGTTCAAAGGCTGTTAAATCACGTTGTTTACCCATATCTTCAGAAAAAAATCACTTCTACTGTCGTGGTAAACAACCTGCTTCCCTATTTATAATGGTCTGGCCCTCTAGCAACTTCAGCGCGAAATTATAGCTAATTTGCCTACAAATGTCAGGTGGTCATAATAACGTTTGTATATACCAGTGGGTATAAACACTGGCCACTCAGTGTATATACTCATAGTATTACATATACTCCTAGTATTATATATATTCATAGTATTATATAGAACTGGATAATAATTTGTAAATTTTTATTCCCTTTTTTGTTGTTAATCCTCACTCACGGATGTTTTTTCCATTGACTTTTAAAAATATATATTTCTTTATTGATTTCAGAGAGGGAGAGGGAGAGAGAGAAACATGGATGATGAGAATCATTGAACGACTGCCTCCTGCGCGCCCCCTACTGGGGATCGGTGCCCTGACCCAGAATGGAACCTGCCCTCCCGGTTCTCAGGTCCATGCTCAACCACTGAGCCACGCCGGCAGGGATGCACTGATTTTTAGAGATGGAAGGGAGGCCAGGAGGGAGGAGGTGGGGAGGGAAAGAGAAACATCTATGTGAGAGGCACATGGACTGGTTGCCTTCCGCACGCACCCCAACCGGCCCGGGGATTGAACCCACACCCTAGGCACTTGCCTTCCACCGAGAATCAAACCCGCGACCCTTCGGTGTGCGGGCGTGCGCTCCAACCATGGCGCACCCAGCCAGGGCTCTAAGCAACTGTAAATGGGGACAGAGAGGCCCAGGGGCTACTGACCTGAGGCTGAGGGCCGCGACGGCCCTGCCCTGCCCTGCCGCCGGGG